TCTCTCTCTCTCTCTCTCTCTCTCTCTCACTCACTCACACACACACACAAATTTATTCAAACATACAGCGAAATATGTAGTTATCTTAAATATATTTTTCAAAATGTTAATGGTTAAAAGTTTTATTAGAATCATTAAAATATTTAATGTAATTTCTCAACCTCTTTTGATACAAATAAATAACTTTCTAACTAAAGGTCTTTGTCCTTGCAATACGTTATGTAAATATTATATAGTGTTTTAATTAATATTTCATTATTTCACTTATATGTTTTACAGTATTATTAGATTGAGGGTACATTTAGCAAATGTGATTACATTATGCTAAGTAAATATTTTGATTATTAAACAAAATCTTTAAAATTATTTAGTGGTCTTTTAATAATTAATTATTATTATACAAAATTCAGTACTTTTTAATATAAAAAATGTAAACTCATTTTATTCTCAAACTCCCCAAAAACTAGCCTATATTCATTATAACCTATGGGCTATAGGATAGTTTTGGTCAAATTGAGAATAAAATGAGTTTACTTTATTTGCATTACTAGTACTAGAGTAACGATTAAACTAGATTATTAAAAAGTGTATTGACACTTCATTGATAACAGTGAAGGTTAAATGGGACAGGTATTTGTTGCAACATTTTATAACCCTACTATGAATACATGGCCAGTTATTTCACATTTAAAGTTAAAATTTATTAATCATATGCTATATTAAACAATACAAATATATTTAACGAAAGTATTTAATAAAATATATTTTATATAAAACTATTTCTATCTCATAAGACTCAAGCTAGCTATACTCATAAAAACTAATCATTAAACTGTGCCTGATAAATAAAATTATGAATACAATAATCCAGACAAATTTAACAATGACTATAATGGGTCACTGTTTTAAGGACACAACTATACGACTGATTAAAGACTTTTTATCGTTTTTCTATATTATGTCTCCCTACGAAACCTCCTATGATAACGCTATGGACGTTCCCCACTATGAAGTCAATGTAAGTATGAACTTGGTATCATTTATAAGTTGTTTCAAAATTAATAATCATGGTTAAAACAAAATTTATATTGTTAAATTATTATAAAATTGTTTATTATATTTATTATACAACGATATGCGCTTTAGATGCTCAGCAATAAAAGAGTATATTTTCAAAACCCTCGAACATTTTAATACTAAAATTATCAATACTATGTGTTAGTTTAATAATTTTGTCAAACATTAAAAGTCTTATCTCCTATTAATTCTCGAGCAAAAAAAGGATTAAGTCAATATAACTTTAAAATCAAAAACCTAATCAATTAAACCCTTATCTTTGCCAAAGGATTGTTATCAGATAAACCTTTTACTGTTTGACAAAAATATTAAATTAAAATCTTTTCTAATATTTTTTGTTTACTGATTTTCTTAAATTATTGATAGATATTGGTGATAACGATATGATAGGGCAAATTCTGAATCATTCGATGTGTCTGTGAAAACAAACTGTAAACTCAAGTATTTTACATAATACTATATTATACCCAAATTCATTATTATATGATATTAAGAAAAATACTTGAGTTTACAGTTTGTTTTCACAGACACATCGAATGATTCAGAATTTTCCCTCTCATATATTAAAATGTTCTAAGTTTTTAAAAATATACTCTTTTATTGCTGAGCATCTAAAGCGCGCACCGTTGTATATTGCAATCTTAATGCACTTTGAGCCTATTATTAATACTGAGAATACAAATTTTAATATTAATTTTTTTAATATAAAAATAATAAATGGGTTTAAACTAGCGTTGCCAGACGTCCTCCATTCTGGAGAATTGTACTCCAATTGACCCCCAGTGGCACAGTTCTCCAAAGAGGTTGTGGAGGACAATATAATGTCCTCCATAAGAATTTGATCGAATAATTTTTAAAATTCTTGTCAATTTTTACGTAATCTTTATAATAAGTACATGCACCATCCAAATTTTAATTCATAAGATATGAATAACTTCATTTCATTATAACATTAAAGCGAGTAATTATAATTTATCTAGTATATTCATGGAGGACTGGATTATTGTGATAATTGTGATTTTTATATTATATATTATTTAAATCATTTACTTATAAATGCTAGGAATAGTGTTAAATATTCAGAATATGGTACATTCAAATAGAATTCAACTTATTTGTTAATTAAATTTTAAGATTTAAGTTTAATATTTTATAAGTTAATTTTTGAGGACGTCGGGTCTTGATCACGTTTAATTTTAATTGTCTAAAGTGTCAGGAAATATATTTTTTTTCAACATTTCTATATAAATTGAATAATGTAATTGAATTTAATTTTATATGAAAATATTCAATTAGTAAATATAACAGGACTAGGGATTGATCAATTTATATGAGAATTTTACGTTCCCCGTACTTATTGAATGACTCCTATTGTTATAACTTTTGTCCTCCAAAAGTCCTCCAGAAAAATGTAGGATTTTATCATCTGTCCTCCAATCTCGGAAAAAGTCCTGGCAACGCTAGTTTAAACTATCATTTATGAAAATTTTATTTGTAAACATACAAATAGATAAAATTACATTATAAAAAATTTCCCACATTTACTATTACTTTGCTTGAATCAAATAAAGTTGACACCTGTGATGGGGTTTCTGGTAATCCTGGAGCAAGTGATCCGATATTTCCAACGCCAAGACTTGACACGTTTCCAGGATTATGTCATTAATGCCGGATCAGCCGTACTGTTCACTCTTATGAGGTATATTCAGTTTAATTCAAAAAATTTTTATTTATCAATTAAATCTATAAATACTATATACATATAATAATAACCAGGGTGTTCCTGTTGACCACGTCTGTTCACTGTTTCAACTGGATATTTACCAATTATGCACTGATTGATATGCCATTGCACTCTGTATGGACCTGGCTCTTTTCACTATTGGTGGTGGAGTTCACGTACTACTGGACCCATCGGGCCCTCCATGAGTTCAACATCCTATGGGCTGCCCATCAGTTCCATCACATGGCAGAGGACGTCAACATCACGACTACTGTACGCGATTCGGTGGTCGACCTATTCATATATGCCGTAAGAATTTAATCTTTTTATATATCCTTTTAGAAAAACTTATTACCTGGGTTTTATTCATAATTATGAAATGGATAGTTTTTAAAATAGCACTTAATAGTGGTTTAAGTTGGGACAATTTATAAATATTACAAAATTATTAATCTGAATATAAAACCATTTTCAAAAATTATATCAACTTATTATTTTGTTTATTAATAAATAGGTATTTCCGTTACCGTTGGCATTACTGGTACCACCACCTTGCTTAATGGTGCACATCCAATTTAGTCTCATATACCAGGTATGGCTCCACAACTCAGTGGTGGGTAATCTCGGTTTCCTGGAGTACGTAATCAATACCCCGCGTCAACATCGGGTACATCACGGGAGGAACGCCTACTGTATAGACAAGAACTATGGGGCACTCCTTATGATATGGGACCGGATGTTCGGCACCTATCAGACAGAGACCGGCAAAATAGTTTTCGGTGTGTTGTCGCCTACACCTAAAACATACGACTCAATGATCTTACAGTTTGGTTACTATCGAGACGTGTGGCGAAAGTTTTGCAAAGTCGAGGGCTTTTGGAATAAGATGTGCGCTCTGTTTGCGGGGCCGGGATGGGCACCCGGGAAGCCCAGACTCGGGGACATTAAGGACGTACCAGAAGTGGACTATTCGTTGCCGAAGTACAGTCACGACCCATATATAGCCGACTGGAAGAAGGTGTACATCGCATACCATTCGTTAGTCGTTGTCTTGGGTTTCTATATACTCGGGGAACATCCATATCTCGTATGAATTTTTTGTTACTTTTTAATTGTTTTATGGGTTTTAATAAGTAATTTAAGTTTTTATTTACGTTTTGTAATATTTTTATAGCGCTTCTCACCCGAGAAGGGAATGATTGCCATATTATATGTCGTATACCTCTTGACATCGTTTGGTGCCGTATTTGATAACAGGTATTCATTTTGTGTAAAAATGTACCTAGCTATATGTATTTTGAAATAGATGTCCTTTGTGTTTGTTTATAAACATTGTAAATATTATACTATTTCACAGAACCGTGTTTTAGCAACTGAAAGGTTTTTAAGTCTTTTAATTATTTATTACCGTAAAAATTATTTATATAAATTAACTAATACATACAGTATAATACAAACCTTAGAGGGAATATAGTAAAGCTCAATGAAATGTAGTTTTGCGGGATTCACAAAGTACGTACGTGTGCTGAATAGGGAGGGGGTCGTACCAATGTTAAATTCTCAAGTATAATGTGCGTGTAGGGGACGGGGGTCAATTTTTGATTAATTTTTTTACGCACGCACTTTGCAAAGTAATAGTACCACCTATTTCTAATAAACACCTAGGTCATGGGTGGCACCACTGGAAATAAGCCGCTGTTTGGCGTTCCTCCTGTTCGACTACTTCCTAATCTATTCGGTTCAGTGGCCTATAGGTCCCGGACAGCACCTCCTACTGGATGTGCTCATGTGGACCACACGCGCCGCTCACTTGTTGTCCGTAATGTTTTGGTTGGGCTATTGGCTCAGACAATGGACTGGCGGTGAGAGCACCGACACCGACAACCAGGAGTACGCCGTTGTGGGTAAGGGTGCGAAGGATGTGGAGAGCGAGACCTCGTCGATGACAGGCATTAATGGCTACAAACTGTTTGCTATGATATTGTGCTTCTTCTTGACAGCCATTCCCTATTTACTTGCTTTCATGACTCGCATAAATAGTTGCAATAAAATGTTTAATGATTTGTATTATGAGCATGGTCAGTAATGATAATTGTAACCAATAATTTCAGCAATCTCAATATCTAGAAAGTAAGCAAGCAAATGTGAGTACGATTAACATTAAGAATGCGCGCCCAAATTTAGTTCAATAAAATTTATTATTATAATGTAATTTAACTTATTTTTACAATGAGCTGTGTGGTTGGGTTTAACGGTTAAACTAAAATTTTATACTACTTACAAGTTAATATAAAACTATAATTCAATGTTAATATGTAAACTTTAGGATGTTCGACAACATCTTTATAATAATAATTAAAATATTAAAAATGTACAATGTGTTTGTTATTATAAAATATCTAGGCTAAGTGTTCACCCATCATTAGCGTGACCACTATCAAGTATTCCGCCTTGACTTTTAAGTATTTGAGGCTTTGGTCAAGGATCAAGGGAAGGGTAGATACTTGACATTATAAGGTCAAGTATTTTCAAAATTGATATAATATGACCAAATCATATATAAATGTTGTTAAAAAATTAGATAAATAGAAAATTGATGCATATATTTAAAAATAAATATTAAATACTTGAATGTTAACGCAAACCCGCAAATTTCACAAACTTATTGAACATAGTTTTTTCTGCCATAAATGTATATTAATATAACTATGTTACCTATTATGAACTCCTAATCAAAAGATCACATACTTTAACATCCAAAACCTTAAGATTAATATATCAATTTAAGATTTAATTATTTATTAATTCACAACACTATTTGTCTATTATTGTATTTACTTATTTCATTCAATAATGGAGGATTTTCTACTAAAAGTCACATAAACGCTGAAACTATGTATCAAAACTATCGCATACATATTTCTTAATTAACAGCTAAATTATATAACAAATAATACTTCAATGACATATCATCAAAAAATCTTTTATTTTGAAAACAATATTTCTAATTCAATTAATTTGTCACTTAAGTACATAAATCTTATTGTTTAACACCTTTACCTATAAAAATAAAATACATAAGATATATTGTTTTTCTCAATAGAAGGTTTGTTATACATTATACAGTATTGGTACAAGCAAATGATTTTAATATTTAGAAAGATCTTTTGAACCCAGAAACATTTTGCTGGGATAAATATGCCTAAAAATATCAATTTTTGATATATAGGGAATTTTTAATAGTTTATTACAATATTATGGCTTTTGTATACTAAATTTATTTTATTGATCTTCACACTGCAAATTTCGCAGCCT